AGGCGTCTTGGAGTAGGAGGAGGAGGAGGAGGAGGAGGAGCAGGAGCAGGAGTTACTACTGGAGCAGGGAATCTCGGACTGTGACTGCGGATGGAACTGGTTGTAGCCGCTGGCGCGGCGCCTTCATTTCCGAATGAGTGAGCCATCAAAACGTTTGTCACAAAAATTATTAGCAATTCCAAGTTCCAAACGACGACCATGTTGAAGATGATGATGTTGTTGTTGATGAAGCTGTTGATCATGATGCTGCGGCACGTTGTTGTTAATATAAAAAAGTGCTCATGTTGCGACTTCTGCCGCCCTCCTCAAAGCTCTTGTAAGCGACCAAGTGCCACTCGAGCTGAAGTCTCTGCCTCCCAGAGGGTAACCAAGTGCTGCGCCCAGCGACCAAGTTCGTCCGTCGGTCGGTCGGTCGGTCGGTCGGTCTGTCGGTCTGTCGGTTGTTCGGTCGGTCGTCGCCTTGACAGTGACAGTTTGATATTCTTTTCAATTCTGGCTGCCTCTCAGCTCACAGCCACTCCTCCTCCTGCTCCTCCTCCCGCTGCCACAAGCTGCATGCAACTCAGCTTATTAAGTCGCAGATTTTCAATGGGTTCCGACGGCTGGGTGGGAGCCTTGGCCGGGCTCTGCTCTGCATTGGAATTAAAAATTGAGCACGTGCTGATGGCCAAAGCTTGGCTATTGTGTTGCCAGCTAAGGGCGTGGCCAAGAGGAGAGCGCGTGCTGGCGCATGAAACGGGCAAATGCAGTCCAGAGGGTGTGAGGGGGGGGGGGGGGGGGGGGGTGGATGGTTCACATCTAATAAATTGGCGAGCAAATTTTGGCTTGGACTGTTTTTGCTGCCTTCAGTCGACTTCATTAGCAAATGGCCAATATTTGGGAGCCGGCTAAAAGGGGAAAATGTGCCGTTTGCATTTTCCGCTGTTGATTTATCGCTGATGAAAAGCACACAGAGCAAAGCACAGAGAAAAACAAATCCGAGTCAGTTTTTCTGACACTCGCTGGATATTTTGTTTACACATTTCTTACATTTTCAATTCCATGGCTAAATATTTGTGCGCGATTTCCATGCCCATTGTGCGAAGGGATTAAATGTCACATGAGCCACTTGGGAAGAGCTACCCGAGATTCTCAGGCTCAGCTGTTTGTAACAAAATAGCCACAATCCAGAGCAACAGAAACAACAACAACAGCTGTCAGCATTTTGAGTTGGGTTAAGAGTCCGTTGCCGAGCTTGTGGAATGGAGCTGCACAACTTTCAAGTTGTCTGCAGTCACAATTGTGATCTCCTACCAATGCGCTTTGGGGTGGGACAACAACAATTGATTGAGGTTCGAGCTCATCGAAGTAGCAAAAAGCAAAAAGCTGACAGTTTGCCAAGCAATGCAATTACTTAAATCATTTTCTTGGGCGTACTCAAATATAAGCTGAAGCTAGAGATAGGATTTATAAATTTATGCTTGTCCCTCAAATCAATATGCGAGGACTGGCATCGCGTTGAGGGTATGCCTCCTTCGGGAGCTCACCGACAAGTGCATAGCTTGCCGGACAGGCTATAAATTTCCCTCACCTGGTCGCTGATTTCCCATCACCATCCCACCTACTTCACACTGTATATATTTAGCATAGATTTCTTTACTTTATTAATTAGTTCTTTCTAAAAAGTAACAGCCTTCCCTCGTATCGTTGATGCTAATAGAAAATTGTGTATTCTAATTGGGCTTTTAGCATTTAATTTTCATAATTTGACGTTTTTCATAATTAAGAAGACACTCGCTTTTGTCGACTATTAATACATAAATAAAACAAAATAAATGAGAATATAGCAGGATGAGGCAGGAGAGAAATCAATAGTTGAATCACTTTCCATGTGCCTTGGCTTCTGCATATGGCTAGGTGACTTTTCTCAGCTGTGATTTGTCAAAAACTCAATCAGAAAGAACGAAGACTTTATATTATTTAAAAAATCAAGAGTGCTCTAGTCAGGCATGCGCAGCTAAAAGATACCCTAAGCACCTTGAATAACTTCGGCCCTTAAGGTCCGATCTTTATGAAATTTTCAAAGCTTAAGTATGACTCTAAACTGTGTGTACATACCAAAGCACCAGACTATACTTTCCTTTGGGCAAATGAGGAGAGAAGTGAACTATTTTTAATCTGTATTACATAAGAAGTTAGGTATATCCAGTTCTTAATATCTTCGAGCTAAAAACCATGTTTGAAATTTCCTTTTTAATCGATATCGATTCATAATATGAGACTGGGATTTAATTCAAAGGACCCAGTCAGACATTTGTGACGTCTCTAATATTCCATTTAAATCAATAGTTTCCAAAATAAGCTAAGGGACTGTCAACTATTTCAAATTCATACAAATTGCGACCAACAACAATTTGCTTTGGCCCATTGCACATTATTAATAATCAATAAATCATCATTTGTTTGGCATAAAATTGAGTTTGTGGCCAATGCTGTGCGGTCTGTGCAGCCAATCAATTGATAATGTTGCATTTGATGTATGATATATATATATATATATATATATATAGGGGGTAAATATGTATATATACGAGCTGTAATCGGATGCGAATCAATTACAGCTTGACTAGAAGTAATGCGAGTACTTGCACAAAGTGCTTTATCCAAGCACCCCGCTGTGGATTGTGCCCCTTTCCCCTTTTGACAGCAACTTGCCCAAATTAGAAACAGATGATGATAATGATGATGCTGATGATGATGTTGATAAGAGCATGGCGAATCATAAGATGGATATTCATTGAATCGTAGCATTTATTGCATGCCACATGGCCAGCAAAGCTCTTTGCCACACATAACACGCCCCTCTCCGTGCTTCTCAGTGCCACAACATTTTGCAACATTCACACTTTTTGGGCGGCTGACTTGTCATTGCCACTTGCATCCTCTTCCATTCCTCCTACTCCAGCTCGTCGAGCCAGTGATATGCCAATAACAATAAAGCACACACCCAGCGGGCGTGCCACAGGCAGCATGAGGCAGGAGGCAGACGCCAAAACTACGTCTAAGTGAAACCAAAGGACGGTTGCAATGGGCGACAACGTCGAATGGGAACTGGGAGCTGAAGCTGGGAGCTGTGAGCTGGAGCTGCGAGCTGTAGCTGGGAGCTGGCAGCAACATAGTTAATCGTTATTTACAGACAGATAAAGTGCAGAAATATTGTCGAGCAGCAGACGTCGAGGAAACGGTAGCTCATGTATCTCATGCGACCACCAAATGTCGAAGTGGAACCAAGAAACAAAAAAAAAGCGAAGAAAAACCAAGTGGTGAAAAATGTAAATGGATTGGACGAAGAGGAGATACCCTTTTGAATTATAACATATGTCGAAGTGGAACCAGGAAACGACAATAGAAACATATTCTTCGACCGATTATTTCAATATGAAAGAAAGAGGGAAGAAATAGGAAATACCCTAAAAGATTTTCGATTTATTTTGGATCTTAACTTAGTTTTCGTGGTCAAACTTAATAAAGACTAAATAGTTCCGACGGGAACTATATGAATAGAAACAATCTCCGTAGAGTCTTTAATACACATCTTGAACAACAAAAGAAGTTCGACATATAGAAACGTATTCTTCGATCAAACATTCCTATGACTCCCTTAAGATTTAGCTGCAATATGGAGCTGCGATTTGGCTCGGCTTTTAATCAAGAATACGTACACTTTATGGTGTCTCCCATTCGTACTACTCTTCTCAGCAAGAGTATTTGGCATAAGAATTCGCATACGGGCAACGTAATCGGATTCCCATGCATGAGCCCAAAAGTCGGAGGCGGAGGTGGGGGCGAGCCGCTTGGCGCAGCGATAACGAGCTGTAGTTAAAGTGTGGGTAAGGGGGAGTGGGAGGGAGGGCGAGAGGGGAGTGTAGTCGGCTGGGCCATTGCCATTGCCAATGCCATGGCTCGTAAATTTGCGCTTTTGCCAGCCCAAAAAGCAGAGCATAGAAAATCAGCGAACAGGCAAAAACCAAAAGCCACGCCCACAACAAAGTACGACGGGGGGGCGGGCGGGTAAAGAGGCTGTTGCCAGTTTTTGTCTGCGGCACTTCCTGTGGCCGGGCGTCAGCAATTTCTTTGCGGAAATCATTGGCCAGGAGCAGAAGCTAGCGATGACTCTTTGGGCCGCATGCTGCGCCTTTTCACACGATAAACTCCGTTGTAACTCGTTGGCCATTTATTTGGGCCAAATACTGAGCCCGAAGGCCTGTTATCAAATTCAATTACCTAAAGCCGGAAATGCGTATGCCTAGCTCGTAAAACTGCCGCCCCAAAAGATGACTCAAGATGTGCCATTTAGATAGAGATTTCGGTTCGAGTCGATGGACAGAAAAGGTGTTTGTCCCAAAAAAAAGGGTCCAAAAAAGCTCAAATGAAGTTAGATCCAAAGTCTACAGTACTTTGGAGCAACAATAAAGGGCGACAAGTCAACCTAGCTGGCCAGTTAGACCCGTAGTCGAAGTCAAGTTAGAGGCCCAAATGTAAAGGCGATTCCAGAAACTTGATTCAACACACACAGCTGGCATGTTTTGATAATTTCATTTGTAATTAAAGCTTGTAACTTTTAATTACCGTGGCCCAAACCGAGGCGACCTTGCTTGACCAAGCAATTGGTTGTCGCTCGTGTGACACATATGCAAGGCATGCCCCAGCCCCAACCCAGTTGACCGCATAGACCACAAGGCAAAATGCCAACGGCACGATTAATGACCCCATATGGCAACGCCTACGGGCAGCACAGGGGAAGGGCTGGATGGTCACAAATTCCATGTGAACCAATTTGAATACATAATACTTCAGTTCAGACACTTTGCCAGCCCTGACACCCTGCCAACGCTTGGCCCATTTCTGACCGCACAGGAAATGAAAATCGTTAAGCTCTGGCAACGCTGTCGTTATTGTCGTGGTCTGGCCATATCCGGCATTGGGCTGTTGACGGTTTTTGTATATAGTTAGATACTCACTTTTTGGAACTGCTCCTGCAAACGCAGCAGCGCGCCTTCGATCTCAATCATGCGCTTTTCCAACAATTCCTGCAAAAACAACAAAAAGAAAACGCAAACTGAACAACAAAATGCATTTTTTTTTGGCTAATATGGCAACGATATCTGAGTTCAGATAAACCCTATGAAAGAGAAAGCAGTGCATGGATATGTGACGGAGTGCGAGAGTGTGTGTGCGAGTGCGTGTGTGTGTGGGTGTGTGTATCAATAAAAAGTCCAATGAAACCAATGCCAAGTATGCCTAATAAGTGTGTGTAAATGTTGTGTGTGTGTGTGAGTGTAAGCAAATGTTAACAACAACCAAAGATCGTAATTATTAACACTACATTAAAGAAAGCAGCTGTCACAAATTTAACGAAAAAAGAAACAAGGTATACGATTTTAGCACAATTAAAAAGCTTACTTTATCTAACGATAACTATCAGTTAGTTTACACAATTCTCTGTCTTGAGTCAATTGTAAAGTGCTGCCCATTTTTTATCAGATTAGCTGCGAGACTTCAATAGATGCGATAGACGTTCGCATTATCTATTTGATTGTTGATCGAACAGCTAACGATAACTATCAGCTAGTTTGCATAAGTCTCCGACTTAAATTGGTTGTTCAAGTGCTGCCCATTTTTTGTTAGACTTTCCCCAAGTCGTAAATAGATGTGATAGACGATCACACTATCGATTTGATAATTAATCGAACAGCTTGCAAAGTGCTGCCAATTTAAGCAAATGCGGTGCTGCCTAAGTTGAGCATTGTCTACGACAGCAAATAACTGAAGCATAAGAAAATATCTTAAGAAAATCTTTAAATTTATGTGACTAAGTTTTGAGCTTTCAAATAACGAACGAATAATTAAACTAAAGCTATTAGACAGTTACTTAATAAAATATCAGCCTGCGATAAGCACTTGACAATCGACATGGCATTTTATCGAAAAGTGCTGCCAGTTTGGCAAATGGCAGCGTTGCCACATAGAGATAACGAACTGTAATTTAACTACTCGTCAACTAACATGAACTTTAAGTGGAACATGAGAAAATGGATCGAAAAAAGTTGCCGAGATTGTAATGTTAAGCGATTTAAATTAATTTACGAGCTTGTGATTGCCCAAATGGCTTCAAGGTGCACAAATACCAAATTCAATGAACCTATTTTTATTTAGTTTTTGATATTTTGTATGCACAACAATCGAGTTGCACAAGCTGCACGCGATGCGAAGGTCTGCAATCTGGTTGCAGGTGTGCATGGCCAATAATTCACCTGAGAGTGTGTGGCATGCAACAAACTGTGGCACGAACAGAATCACTTGCCGCCAAAAGAAAAACGAGATCTTTTGTGGAGGCATTTTTTTTGTCGGTGCTGCCAACACAATGGATCACCACACACTTATGTATGGGTACGGGTAGGTGGGCGTAAGCAGGAAGTGGGAATGACAGTTTCATAATTGGACTTGGAGTTAGACATTTAAAGGGCAGTTGTCGCCAGCCGCAGCTTATTAGCCACAGCCGGAGACAGAGACACAGTCCAGAGTTTTTTTCGACAAAGTTACGGCTACAAAAAACGGGCAGCAAATTTAAATGGGATCGTTAAAACAAATGCTAAAAGCCCAACACATAGAACAAGCAGTCGAAACAGAGGCCAAACTAATGAAAAAATGAAGAGTGGGAGAGAGGGGGGGGGGGGGGGGGGGGTGGGGGAGGGAGAGAGGCAGGCAATCGGTCAGATCGTAAAACATTTTACTCAAACACTAAAAACTAGTTGGGGGAAGTTGTAAAAATAATATTGTTATAGCTTGAAAAATATATATGCATTTTATATATATATATTTTTTCTACGTATATGTGTATAGACAAATTGGTTGACCGCTTTTGGTGTTAAAGAAATTAATAAATGCCATAAGTCGAGACCCCGTACACACATATATATATATATATATATATATATATATAAATCTCTGTAAGGCCCATTCGAGTCGAGCCTGGCTTTAAGAATGAATGGGCCATGATTTGTGGCAGGAAATTACGCAGACGTCGAGTGGGTTAAGTGGAGTCCATTTCATGGATTCACGAGCTACGCATATATAAGTCTATATATATATATATATATAACTCCATATATACATTCACATTGAGCTTGTTTTGTTGTAAATGTTGCGCTTGATAAATACTAATGCGGGCCTAACCTATTTGCAGCTGAGCTGAACAACATAAAACTTCAGTCTAGTGTGTGTGATATCCGAACCACAGTCTAAAATAACTGCAGCTCTAACTTCTTGCGGGCTAGTAGGTTAAGCTCGACTAGAAGATACCCTGTGAGGAGAACTAAAGCGAGGGAGAAGAGCTAGAATATATATATATATAGATAATTAGAAAGCGAGAGATAGAGATAGAGAGAGAATAAAAGAGAGATCGAGATAGAGAAAGAGTGGGAAAGAGAAAAGTTAAGGAAATCAAAGCTGAAATCCAGAGAAACTTTCTTAAATAACTTTCAAGATTGAAAGAGAAGGAGAGCGAGATAGTGGAAGATATAGAAAGTGGGAGAGAGACTGAGAGAGTGGGAGGCAGTAAGATAGAGATAGAGAGTGGGAGACAGAGAAGTTAAGGATATCAAAGCTGAAACCTAGCAATAGTTCCTCAAATAACTTTTAAGAGAAAGAGAGAGAGAGAGGGAGAGAGAGAGAGAAAGAGAGGCGACTTTATGGGTGTTTTTCTCCGACTCCGGTATCAAGAATATATATATATAATAAGTAATTTTGAGTTACGTTTTCAGTCTAAAGCTCTCACTTCTCGAGATCTAATGCAAATATTTCGCTTGCCCGCATCGGACTGGACTTCTTTATGAAAAATGTATATGCTCCCCTTTAGACGCATTTTATGGTTCTAGGGTATACGCAAGAAAAAAAAAAGCAAAGCCACATATTTCGCAGAACAAAGGCAGCAACAGACGGCAACAACGAGTGCTGTCTGCTGCGCATGTGCAACTGCAACTGCAACTGCAACTACCACAGCCAAGATTCAAGAGGCAAGAGGCAAGAGGCAACTGCAACAGGCAACAGCTGAGCAGGAGGCGAAACTGAAACCGAAACGCGATGCGATGCGAGTTGAGGCGATGGCCAACAAGCTGGCAAATAAATAAACAAACAATGATGCGGGGCAGGCTCTGGAGACGAAGTGCAAACGTTGCACATAAATTGCCGCACGTTCAATGAACTTTCTCAATCAGACGTCGCACAAATGCAACTGCAACTGCGGCGCAAGAGAACGTGACTCGGTTCTGATGACAGGGCTGGGATGCAGTGCAGCAGCAGCAGCAGCAGGTCCATTGTATGCGAGCGGCATAATCAAGATGCCATTAAGTGTATTTGCAGGGGTAGAAAGGGGGAGGGCGGTGCAACTGCAGCCAGTTGTGAGTGGGTGTCGCCTATTCCACTGGGAGAGAGTTCACACAGTGTGTGCGAGCTGCAAATCCTGCTGGATCCAACTCCCTTTGGGTTGGGTTCTTGAATCTGTTTCAAAATATCCAAAACATCCAAGGTTCGATCTAAGTCTCAATTTATAATTCCTGCTTCTGGGAACCCTGAACTTTGTGTAGGCTTCCAGGCTACCTTAGGTTGGGTTCATGAATCTGTTCTAACACTTATATGAACCAAGGTTTTGACCTAGGCCCCAATTTATTATTTGTACTTTCTGGGGTTGTGAACCGTGAATTTCGTTCCAAATAAATTGAAATTCCAGGCTGCCTTAGGTTCGATTTGTGACCCTGGTTTTTATCTAAGGATCAATTTATTATTTCTACTTCCTGCGAACCCTGAAATTCGTTAAACATCAATTGCAATTCCAGGCTGACTTGGGTTCAGTTTGTGAACCTCTTTGCCAACATCCATGAAGCAAGGTTTTGAGCTAAGCCCCAATTTATTATTTCTACTTCTTGGGAGTTCCTGGCTTGAACCGGTTCGGTTACACTCTGCAGCCTTGTTGGCAATCGCGACAACCATCGGTCCCACTGTGCGGCGGTCGCAAGGCTCAAAGGCTGGCTCAAAGGCAGCCTCAATTAGCAGCAGCTGCCTGCATGCTGGGCCACTGCTTAGATCCCCCGAGACGAACGCGTCAGATTTCTGGGAAACATTACAGCATCAGCTGGCAAGCATTTACATAGAAGATTTTGCTCAAAGCTCATTTGCAGCCGCTTATGGGCCCTGGCGTGGACGTGTGTTCCCCGGCTGGGCCATAAATCAAGCGCGAGTGCTGCTCCACTGCGCGCCTGCGCCATACTTAGCGCTATTAAAGCGTCACGGAAGTCGAAACGTGATCGTTGCGAGCCGTCGCACCTAGGCCCCACGGTCGACCCAACCGCGTTTATGGGAACGTTTAGCTAAACGCGGTTTAAACGCGGTCTAAACGCGGTCTAAACGCGGTCTAAACACTAGTTGGCCTGGGAAAAGTAAAGGAGTTGACTTAGCAAACTAGCTGAATATAGCTGAAAAATTCAGCAGAAAAGGCATGTGCAGTAGCTCGAATGATGTTGAGTGCACACAAATGAATCAAAATAATCAGCTGCACCATTCTGAATGAATCAACCAGTTGCAGCACCTACAATTGCAAATGTAGGTGCTGGTTCAACTCCAGGCTGATCAGCCAGGGATGAATAGCCGCTTTCGTATCGAGGTGTTATTTGTAGCTGCAAATGACTCTAATGGAATGTATATTTATTCAATGGAATGTACATTCATTCAATGGAATGTATATTCATTCAATGGAATGTATATTCATTAAGTGGAATGTATATTCATTCAGTGGAATGTATATTCATTCAGTGGAATGTATATTCATTCAGTGGAGTGAATATTCATTTCGTGGAGTGAATATTCATTTAGTGGAGTGTATATTCATTCAGATAAACATTCCCTTAGCCCTAACGATTCACACTATAAAGAATTAAGGAGACACGCTTCAAATTAAACTTATGTAGGTTATCATAAATATTATCAAGTCAGCATAGATGTATAAATAATTCAAAATGATGTGAATGCTAAGCATAACCCCAATCGGGGAATGTTAAAATCTTTGTAAAGCGTTAATATATTTGCCCAGCTTTGACCAAGAGATGAAAGCGAACCGCAGTTTTCTCCAGAGTTGTCATAAATCTCTCTCAGATCAAATCACGCCAAATGATGAGAATGATGAGCGCAAGCTTAACCCTAAAATGTTGCCAACATATTATGTGGGTTATCGGCAACATTTTTGGCAGATGGGCACAGCAGATAGTCAGATTTATTAGTGAAACACATGAAAGAAATCTACGCAAATTCTTGTTTTAGCTTCGAGACTTTCATAGTTGAACTTTACCAGCAGGATAAACTGCATGTCAAAAGTGCATTTAAATTCTCTGAGCCGCTGGCCCTGGCGTGATGTGTCTTAAATGGCACGTTAACGAGTTCAAGTGTCTGCACTCGACATCGGGGTTCAAAGGTGTTTGTTTCACAGGCTTTTGCATGCAAAGTTTTGCACACGCCACGCGGAAAAACCCAGCTCGGCTGCGCTTTTCCCAGGCGGAAAAGTGGCTTTTCAGCTATTCAAATGTTAGGTTAGTCGGGAGGGTTATCAAAATGACAATAATGTGAGCTATATGGACTACAATATGTCTGTAATTGGGGGGGTCATGGGGTCTGCTACCAAAAGCGAGTTTCGAACCGGCACCAGGTAGGTTTTGGGACTTACCTTGTCGCTGGCGCGCTCCAAGCTCAACGCCGGCTCGTGCTCCAGGGAGCGCGCCTGGTGCACCAGCTGGATTTTGCCCTGCGATATTTGTATATAATTGGCTGGCGGCATAATATCGTGCACATCGTCCTTGTCATCCTCATCGCAATCTTTCTCGTTTTGCCTGCATAAAAAAAAAACGAAAACAGAAATGAGAGCGCTTTATTAAAAATCAACTGACAGCCTTCAACGTGCCTCAAACTGCAGCCGCTGTGTCTGCCGTGGCAAAAACCTGCTCGACCAGCTCCACTTGGAGCGTGGGCTGTCGATCGTATCGTTCGCTGCATAGCTGAAATCTTTCCCAATGCTTATAATCGCCGACGCCGGCACCCCCAAGAAGTGTCAAAATTATTGTATTGGCCCAGCCAGCTGGCCCGGCCTCTTATCTGGAGCGGATTATTGCAACACACACGCACACACACACACAACAAATCTCCAAGTGGTTCAATGGGCAGAGTTAAGTACACACCACAGAGCCAATAATGCAATCAAAATCCAACGCACACTGATTCGACTCCATATGTTATGTGACGAAATTGAAAGGCAACTGATAAACAACACAAAAGAATTTATAACTGCATATTTCAAGAGGTTCCGTAATACGTTTGATGAGTCACAAGTAAATTTGTAATGCAGGAAGAAATCTTTCAAGAAAATTAGTGAAAATTTTCTTTGGTAAAAACATAATGAGTTAGATTTGGGAGAGGTTATATAACCTTTATATAATATTAATCAAAATATGAGAAGGTTTTTGAAATAAACATTTTCTCATCAGTTACTAAATATCAAATTTCCAGCTATATGCCAATTTTTACACTAAATGCTCCTAATATGCCGCAGCCAACTTAACGTACGTCGATGGCCACACTTTTGCTGAAAAATGGGCACCACTGTTCACTGGCCATGTACCAATAAGAATTGTTAGGCTGGCAGCGTTGCCACCCTGCGGCAGTTATTGACGTGACCCAAAATTGTGTGTCCAGCTGACAAAGATATCGAATGTTGCACCTGCAACCCGGCGCAAGGAGTCTGCGTGCAACAGATATCCCATCCCAAGATCCTATTTGGCATGTCAAGCGAATGTGGACTGTGGTTAGCGTGCTCACATGTTCGATTGCTAACAACGGCAACAACAATTTGCTCGTTATTTCAAATTGAATTTGCGAGTTAAGTGCAAATAATTTGATAAAATTGGCACTCGGAGGCATTCGAGTGGGCAATGGCTTCGGCTACAGCTCCAGCTCCGACTGTGGCCAAATGCTTTGACTTGGCTGCGTCCATTCAACCAGATGCTGGCAATCCAGTTTTTTGGCCAAGTCTAACGCTCAACTCTTTTCAGCGGCAACTGTTGCAAACTAGAGTCTAATAAATGAGTGCCACAAAGCGCTGTACAAACAAGTGAGAGCGCGCGACTGGCAGATACCCTGTTACTATTTGGAGATCATTTTTAAGAAACTTTTTTGCTTAGAGTTGGAATTGGAATAGATGAAGATAGCCATAAAGTAAAATGTTCTTGATCTGTGTGCTCAACGGGGATTCGTAGGTTTTATAGCTCTTAAAAGCTCCGAAATACACGAGTCTGCAAATCGATTTTTATCGATTTCGAAAAGATGTGGAGGCTATTGATAAGTTGAAGGGTTATGGGGCAAGACTCTATCGACTCGGCTCTTGATGCTGATCAAAAATAAAGTACAATTCATTCGCTATTGGGTCTTTTGCCACTTATATTACCTGCTAAATGTGATCGATATTTATCGATTTCGAAAAGATGCAAAGGTTATCGATAAGTTGAAAGGCTGCGAGGGATCTCGGCTCTTGATGCCGATCAAAAACATAATGCACTTGCTTTTGGCTCTTTTGCCAGTTACATAAATTAGCGCAAAACCATGATACCCCATCGTGCACTGGCTACAGGGTATAACAAACTTACAAGCAAACCGCACAAAATGTTTCGTTTCGTGTCCGGCTGTCCAACTGTCCGTTTGTCCGCTTGTCTGGTTGTCCGGACAGTTGGAGCTGCAGTCAAGTGGGCAGTGGCCACTTCAGAGCTGACTTCCATATCTCTTGCGTCCATCTGTGGCAAGTTTTTCACTTTGCTTTTCAAAAGGCAGCCCACGTGCCGCGTCGCACAGTTCTCTATGCGCCTTTGATTTATGATCATCAAATAAAGCAATCAAAATCAATTTAACTGTTATCAAACTAGCCAAGCTCCGCGAACGTGACTCATGCCAAGCCCGCTCCTCCCCCCCTTGCCCCTGCTCATCTGTGTTGCAAACTTAATTAGCTGCCGCAACGCGCTGCCTCATCAATGCCAAGTCAAAAGGCCAAACTAATGCCATTTGCAGGGCTTTAATTAACAGCCAGCTATGCTCCGCCCCACCCCCCTCTGCCGCCTTAATCAATTGACAGTGAAATAGGTGCAAAGTGCAGACGACATTGCACTTGGAGGAATCTAATTTAGCAACCGTGACTCATGCTCCTCCGGCACTTGGTGCCTTTTAAGGTGCAGTCCATGCAGTGCCGGCTGCAGCCAAAGCATTTGCATTCCCATCAACTTAGCTTCCGTTGGCACATAAACCATACAAAAAAAAAGAAAAGAACAATATGCGCATAAGCATACCCTACAGCAGGGCATATGCATTCATGTGAGCAGTTATAGCCTGATTCCACTGTCAACATTTCTCACATATTTTGCAAATGTAACCTGTTGTGGGTATATAAAATATATGTTTACCTTACATTTTCCCATAACAGTCTAATTTTATTTTCAACATTTCTTAAATTTTGTACAAATGTAACATTTTTTTCATACTGTACAGCAGGGCATATGCATTCATGTGCGCAGTTATAGCCTGATTCCACTGGCAACATTTCTTACATTTCTTGCAAATGTAACCTGTTGTGCGTATATCAAATATGTTGCCTGTACGAAACCACATTTTTCACATTTCCTAAAAAATGTTAATATTCGCCACGAGTAACTTGCTAATGAAATCGCAGAATGTGAAATTTGTTAAATGTTACATATTTTGAGCATAGTGGAATCATTTGTTGAATTCAGTTGCTTTTGAATGTTTAATATGTATATTCATGTTGGATACCCTAGCGCATACCCTACTGCAGGGCATATGCATATTTAGTTAGTTGTTGCATTTGATAAAGTCTGAAATTCTTGAAAGCCTAAGATTTACATTATATATATATTTCTATTGGAATCTTCCAACTTTATTAAGGCTAACTAATACTTAAGCATTTATTTGGCCCCTTTAATAAATAATATGCCGATAATTGCAGGGTATCACACTCAATTACATAAGTAATGGGACAAAGATATATATACATGTAGATATATAAATAAATATATGTATGTATTTATGCTCGCCTTTGATATCGTTGAATGTTGCACATTCGTCAAGCGCGCAATCATTTTAACAGAACGGCGGGAGGAGGGAGAGGGGGAGGAGAAGGAGGCGGGGCACAAGCAGTCAGTAGTTCGTTCGTCCGTCTCTCTGTCTGCCCTGTCCGGTCATTCGGTTAATCCGGCACTTTTGTGCGGCACACATTCGTTTACTGATTATGCGTTTTATGTGACGACCATAAATTTCCGCTGTCGCAGCTGCCCCGCCTACCCCGCCGCCCCTCCCCCAACCAACTGGCGCTTATCAATGGGCATTGCAGTTGGCATAAAAATAAATACTGCACAGTGAAAATGACAAAAAAAAAGGGGGGGGGGGGGGGGGGGGGGAAGTAGCTGGCCACACTTTTCGCTTGCATTTAATGGCAATTTCTTCCGTTTTTTTTTTTTATTTTTATTTTTATTTTCATAAGCCACATAAGGCGCTTACTCCTTGACTGTCCGTTGCCGAATTGTGACTTGAGCTGACCCGAAGACCCTTAAGAGAAATTTATGCAATGTAATTACGTTGAGAGTGTGTGGGGGGATGGGGGGTAGGGGTTTGCTCCAGCCGTAATTGGGGGTTATTCAGATAAGCGGCAATGCATGTTTAATTATAGCTTAAGATAAAATAAATATTAAGCGGCTTTTAACCGTTTATGACCAACTGATGGCACTTGCATCAAGCTACACTTAAGATTAACTAAATGTGGAAAACAAATATAAGAGAAAAAGTACGTGAAAGCGTAAGCCTCGACTAGCACATACCCTGCACTGCAATACAGGTTCGTATTAACTCTTAGCTTCATTTATTAGCGAAGCTCCTAACTAGAAAATTTTTAAAAAAATCTCCTTCATTGTCCGATCTAAAAGTTAAGAATTTCTTGATCTGTGTATGATCAAAATATAAATCTGATCAGATATAAATCTGATATCTATATATCTGCATATGCCAAACTGGGCGTATTTCGATTTACTAATCGATATATAAGTATATTGATTTTTTGATAATTTCAAATAATTTTCATCGAAAAATTTCACTGACTACAGGGTATACAGATAACAGGCCATTCGAGAGAGAGAGCTTTTCTAATGAAAATCCATTGAAATGTTGAACAAATCAAGTTTTCCATTCAATATAAAATGCTTGATTTATGGCTAGTATATGATTAGCATAGATATTTACGACATTATTACAGCGGCCAGCTAATTAAAACTAACATTAAAAGCAATTTAGACAGGTTTCAAATAGACTGCAATTACAGTTAAGTACCATCACACACACACACACACACTCACTTAAATACTGGCCATTTACACCCATACAAAATGCTAAATTTGCATAAAACGCGGCGAATTAATTCGACTGTCAGGCAAAGTTGCGTGTGTGTGATGTGTGTGCGTGTGTGTGTGTGTGTGTGCGTGTGTGTGTGCTTTTAAGTTTTTAAAGCGCTGACAATGAGGTCGACAGTGCAAATAATTTACAGTTCTGCAATAATTTTTGACTGCAATTCGAAAGCTGCCACCGAGAACGCCCCCGCCTTCCGCCCTCCGCCCCCGTCTCCGCCTGCACCGCCGCCTCCGCCTCTTGTCATGCATATGGAAAATCGAAGCTGGAAACGCCCAACGTTCGCTTCAACTGTCCAACTGTCCGACTGTCCGACTGTCAGGCTGGCAGGCCAGTATGCAGCTCGCTGTTAGCTCTTTGGCTTGTGGGTGCCAGCAGCTGA